GTCTATTGTTCAAATGGGCTGTTTCCTTATTTATGCTCTGCCTGGATGATCTATCTATTGGTGACAATGAGGTTTTAAAGTACCCAACTATTATTATATTACTGTTTTTTTCTTTTTAGCTCTGTTAATTTTTGTTTTATATATTTATTATTTTTAAAGCTTCTTTATTCATTTGAGAGAGAGATTGCATGCATGCACACACATGAGCAAGGAAGGGGCAGAAAGCAAGGGAGAAAAAGAATCCCAAGCAGGCTCCATGCTGTCAATGCAAAGCCGAACAAGGGGATCAATCTCACAAACCAGAAAATCATGACCTGAACTGAAATTGAGAGTCATACATTTAACTGACAAAGAGTCCCATGTGCCCCAACTTTTTTTATATATATGGTACTCCAATGTTGGCTGCATATTTGCAATTGCTATATCGTATTGATTTATTGACTCCTTTATTACTATATAATGACTTTCTCTGTCCCTTATTTACCATTTTTAGTTTAAAGTCTATTTTGCCTGATATAACTACCCCTTCATTTATTGGGTTACTGTTTGTATGAAATGTCTTTTTCCGTCTCCTCATTCTCAGTCTGTGTCTGTATTTAAGACTAAAGTAAGTATCCTGTAGGCAGCATATTATTAGATTTAGGTTTTTTTTCCAATTCATTCAGCCATTTTGTGCCTTTGAATTAGAGAATTTAACCAATTTACATTTAAAATAATTTACATACAGGCCTACTATTGCCATTTTGTTAATTATTTCCTGGTTGTACTATAGCTCCCTAGTCCCATGATTCTTTTTTTTTTTTTTAATTTTTTTTTAACGTTTTTATTTATTTTTGAGACAGAGAGAGACAGAGCATGAACGGGGGAGGGGCAGAGAGAGAGGGAGACACAGTATCAGAAGCAGGCTCCAGGCTCTGAGCCATCAGCCCAGAGCCCAACGCGGGGCTCGAACTCACAGACCGTGAGACCGTGACCTAAGCCGAAGTCGGACGCTTAACCGACTGAGCCACCCAGGCGTTCCCCCTAGTCCCATGATTCTTATCCTACTGTATTGTGTGTGTGTGTGTGTGTGTTTGTGTGTGTGTGTGTGATAAGATGTCTTTGGTATTGGTATCTTTGACTTCTTTATCATATACTTTTGTGTAACTACTATAGAATATTTCATTGTTTTCACCATGAACCTAATACAAAATATTTTAAATTTGTAGGGTACCTGGGTGGCTCGGTCGGTTGAGTGTCTGAATTTGGCTCAGGTTATGATCTCATGGTTTGTAGGTTTGAGGCCCACAACAGTCTCTGTGCTGACAGCTCACAGCCTGGAGCTCACTTCAGATTTTGTGTTTCCCTCTTTCTCTGCCCCTCCCCCTCTCATGCTGTGTCTCTCTCTGTCTCAAAAATAAATACAACTTTAAAAAACTTTTTTAGTATTTTTAACACATTTTAAGCTGATAACGTCAATAGAATTTACAACCTTTACACTTTTACTTCTCTTCCTCCTCACATTTTAAGTTATTTCTATTATAATGTACATGTTTTTATATTCTTTAACTAATAACAGGTTATTGCAGATATGATTATTTTTGCTACATTCATTTTTAACTTTCTAATTACACTTGTAAATGAATTATATATCACCATTACCATGTTGCAAAATCGAACTATGGCTATATACTTACCATTGCTAGTGACATCTACACTATCTTTTTGTTTTTATGAAGTTAATGAGCATTCTTTCCCTCCTACTCAAAAACAAACAAACAAAACAAGGCAAATCAAAAAACCTTTAGCATTTCTTGTAAGGTAGGTCTGGTGGTAATGAAATCTCTCAGTTTTGTTTGGGAAAGTCTTTATAACTTGTTTCCAAAGGCCAGTTTTATGGAGTATGTCACTGGTTGGCAAGTATTTTCTTTCAATATTTCGAATATGCCATCTCATTCTTTCCTGACCTGAAAACTATTTGTTGAAAACTCTGCCTAAAGTTTTTCGTTGTTTGTCTGTTTTCATTTTTTTAATGGTTATTTTTGAGAGAGAGAGAGACAGAGTGCAAGCATGGCAGAGGCAGAGAGAGAGAGACAGAGAGAGAGACAGAGAGAGAGAGAAACACAGAATCTGAAGCAGGCTCCAGGCTCCAAGCTGTCAGGATAGAGCCAGATGCAGGGCTTGAGCTCATGAACCATGAGATCATAAACTGAGCCGAAGTCAGATGCTCAACCAACTAAGCCACCCAGTCACCCCAAAATCTGCCCAGAGTTTATGGAGTTTCCCTTGTATATAACTTCTCTGTTTCCTCTCACTGCTCTTAAAATTCCTTTGATATTCAATTTTGACAATTTAATCATAATGTGTCTCTCTGTAGTCCTGTTCAGGTTTAACCTATTTGGGTTTCTTTGGACCCATGCATTTCGAAGTACATATCCCTTCGAGGCTCAGAAAGTTTTCTGCCATTATTACTTGAAATACTCTCTGTTCCCTTCTCTTTCTCTTCTCCTGCTGAAATTCCCATAATATGAATATTGTTTCTTTTTATTGTGTTCTATAATTCATATAAGCTTTCTTCATTCTTTTTTATTCTTTCTTTCTTTTCTTTTTTTTTTTTCCTGTTTGCTTCTCTGAGTATGTATTTTCTAATGTCCTACCCTCCAGGTCACTAATTCTTTCTTCTTCATGGTTGAGTCCACTTTTAAAAACTCTCTATTGAATTCTTCAGTTCAGTTATTGTACTTTTCATTTATAGGATTTCTGGGTTTTCTGTTTGTTTTTCTATTGTTTTGTTTTGTTACTATTTCCTTGCCAAACTTCTTGTTTTCTTTCTAATGCATTATTTTCCTAATTTTGTTTAGTTGTCTGTTTTTTCTTGTGGTTCACTAAACTCTTTTTTTTTAATGAATTCTTTGACAGTTCATATATCTCCATTTCCTTAAGGCCAGTTGATGGAGCTTTATTAGGTTCTTTTGTTGATATCATATTTACAAGATTTTTTGTGATCCTTGATTCCTTACAATGGAATCTGAGCATTTGAGTAATTGGGTTCATCTTCCAGAATTTCTATGTTTATTTTGGTGGAGACAATTCTTTACCCAAATCCCAGGTTGGATTTCTGGGTACGTCTGCTGGCAATATCCTCGGGCAGGTAGGGCCTGTACTAGTGTCTATTTTCGGGTGAGACCAATTGTTCTACCTCTGAGGAGAGGAATGGGTGGGTGTGCTATTGGCTTCTGAGAACAGCTGGATAGGATTACTGGGGGTTCCCTACCCAAGTGAAGTTGGAGTACTGACTCCACAGTTGCCTGGATTCTCCAGTAAGACTTACTACATGGTAGGGACTGAATTACTAAATTCAGTAGCAGATGAGGCTATGAATTAGCTTCTCTGTCCTGGCAGGGCATGAGGATGGGACACAGAGCCTATGCAGCTCATTGTTTGGGGCCCCAAATCAGACCAGAGTATGCACTGAGTTCCCCGGTCAGGTGAGGCCATGGGGATTGCTCAGCAAATGGGTGAAGCCACAGGCTATGCTCTCTTGAAGTGCCACCGCACAGAAGGCTATTGATTGGGTTATGCAGCTTCCCATGTGCTCTGGTTAGGTTTCCTGCTCCAACAGGCTGAAGGCTGTCTTCAGCAATTAGTGGGATATGAGTTAGATTCCCTACCCAGGTACAGCAAGAGAAGCAGCTCTGAAGTCAAACAAAGCTCTTTGTTTGTTGTATTAACTCAAGCCGACCCACAACCTAAGTGCTCGGACTGAAAAGGGCCATTGGCTTTGTTTTCTACACCTTCAACTCTGACAATCTGCCTTCCAAGTCAAGTGGTGGAGGACCACACAGCCTCCAAAAGTTCTCTCTAGCCCTCCTGGTCAGATGGAGCCAGAAGACACTCTCCAGAGTGGGCAAGTTGGTCTCAGCTCCCTTGCCTGGGAAGATGAGAGAGGGGTCACTTCAGGCTAATCTCAATTTCCCAAACAGGCTCTCTGGTTGGTAGGTCAGGAGCTACTCTCATCCTTGGCTATGACTTAATTCTCCCAGCTTATAGAACAGGGACTCTACCCACCCTGAAGTGGCTTTGCTATGGGGGCAATCACCTCTGTCTACCTGCCTCTTGGTTCAAGTGTCACTGGGCCACACTGCACTGGGAGTTTTTGCCAGCCCTTCTGGTCCAATGGGGCCAGAAGATGTTCTCAACAGTGAGTCGGGCAGTGATTTAGCTCCTTGATTGGGCATGGACAAACAGACCCTGTGGCCCATAAAACTTCTCATTTGAAAATTTGAATCAGGTAGATCTGCACCCCACTGAGTTCTCTGGCCAAAGTAAGCCCTCTACTTGGTTCTACAGATGGAAAAGTTGCTGGTTGGAATTAATACTTAGGCACTACAAGTATGAACTTGGTCTTCCAGGATATGTGTGCTGATTATTGTAAGTCCTCCCCTTTCTCCATCCTAGTCAGAGTTCCAGTGGTTCAGCTTCACAGTTTCCACTTAAACCCTTGTGGTATGAGGTCAGATTAGGGGCTCCCACAAAGCAACCCACAATGCTGGGGGGCAGATGGCTGTCCCTCCTGGATTCTTTTATCCTGTAGAAGGACCCGAGATTCAGAGAAGATCTTTCTGCATGGTGCTATGCTGGCTTGGGGAAGGGTCAATGCAGTCAATGCATAGTCTCTTCTCTTATTCTTCTAATGCATTGTTTTTCTCTCTGTGGTGCAGACAGGGGCGGGGGATGCTTCAGCCTCACCCCCATATTATAGGATTCTCTCAGAGATGTCTTGCTCTTAAATAGTTGTTAGTTCTTCTTGCTATGATTAGAAGTGAAGTCAGGAACAAACTATGTACCATCTTGGTGACATTATTCTCCTCCTTCATTTTATTTTTTTTTAAATTTTTTTCAACGTTTTTATTTTTATTTTTGGGACAGAGAAAAAACAGAGCATGAACGGGGGAGGGGCAGAGAGAGAGGGAGACACAGAATCGGAAACAGGCTCCAGGCTCCGAGCCATCAGCCCAGAGCCAGACGCGGGGCTCGAACTCACGGACCGCGAGATCGTGACCTGGCTGAAGCCGGACGCTTAACCGACTGCGCCACCCAGGCGCCCCACTCCTACTTCATTTTAAACTAACTGGCTGTTTTACAGTATCAGATCATACCAATTTTCATTTTAGGGAATCTATGATTTTGGAGGGTAAATTTTATAGCTGATCTAGGGAATGTTATCACTGTTCAATGTACACTATGAAGCAGAAATGGCAAAGTATTCACTACAGAAAACAATGCCAGTAGAATCTTTATTTTTCCCTAAAATACGCCCTATTTTTTGGTAGCACATTTCCCAAAAAGTTCCATCCTAGAGTACAGTGGATTTCAATAATGCATCCATCCTCTGTGTTTACTGTACAATTCCTTCAGCATGACACAATGCTGCCTTCCCTGTGCGTTCAAGTTAGTTCATTCATTCATTGACTCATTCATTCATTAGACATGTATTAATATAGGGCTGACCTCACCAATCTTACATCTCAGCAATTTGAAGCAGACAGAGCAATCATCTAACCATGGGTTCTTCTCACCACAGTGGGAATTATATTTCAGCTAAAAAGTATCTAATACATAAGAAAGACTGAGTGGACTCTTTAGTGTGCCTTCAAGTGCTAGAAGAAATTAGAGTCAGGGAAGAATCAAACTATTATTGTTGGATGTCATCTTTATTGGCTCACATAACTTCAGCAAGTTCTTTGAGTTCTACTCTGTGGTCTGCTGTAATCATCATGCTTAACTCTTCACATATGCACTGCTATTTAATTTCAACAAACATCTTGAGTAGCAGTGATCAAGTTTTCACAGTTCATAATGACCCATTTTTTTAAACCTGTTTTGTCTTTTTACTGACCAAACGTTAGTCAAGCTTCTATCTTTCCTACAGGCCCCTGAATTGTGCTTGCCTCCAAGCCTGAGCAAACAGTAAAAAAGTAGACTGTGCCCCCTTATCAGTTTCTCCTTGGAATCAGCTGACCACAGAGAAATATTTTCCTACCAGATCCCAGGGGTCATTCCCCCTTGATTGTCTAACTTGCCCTCCGAGATTCTGCTTATCTCTGCTTACCACTCCTTTACCCTATCAAAGAAAACTTTTTTTCTGTTTGATTTTGAGACACTTGAAAATTTCTGAGTTCACAGTGACACCCTATTGGGATAATCTTGCTTTCTAAAGTCTCTCTCTATTTAATGCCAGATTTATATTTATGTGACACTAGTTATTATTATGAGGCTCATAGAGGTGATTTGAGGTCTTATGAGGTCAACTAATATCATAAATTATAGGAGTTAAAGTTTATAAAGAGATGTGTCCAAGAAACACCTACTTGGCAAAATAAAGACAAACATTTCCTGCCTCACGATATTGCTGAAGGTAGGCTACAGTATAACAACCCAGCATGACAAAGGTGAGAGGATGGAGTTAAATCTGCTATAGTAAATATAGGTAGGTCAATGAGCTTGAAACCAAGAAACAGGTTCCTTGGTGCTTTTCAATATTCGTTAACAAAATGATCAGGGTAGGGGACTGTTTTCTGGAGCTCTGGCAAGAAGAGTTACCTAGATTCTCTTGATTTTCTTCTTCTATATAGGAGAGAGAGCTGACATGCCCTCAAATTATGTGTATAGATGATTACTGCATACTGGAATGATGCAGGCATTTGAAACTTCCCACAGGTAAAGTGTAAGCTCAAGGCATCATAATAAATAATAATAATGCTTTACCCTGTGCATTGTAATGCCACTGATGTCAAATTAACATAGGCCCTGACAGAGAATGCAAATGAAAGCTCTATAATATGTCAACAGGGCTTTGGGCAAAGGATGGAGTGAGAAGCAGCCACAAGGGGAAAGACAAGAGGTCTAGAGGGGGATGGGAATGAAAGGAATAGGGCAAAGTATTCTGTAAATTTTGTAAATTTTAAAGTAAAATGTTTATTCCAATTCAAACACTTTCCTTAAAGCGATGACATTCATAAAGGCTTCACTGTATATTCTTGCAATTCTAAGCATAGAAATCATACATAAATTCAAGGAAGCAGAGTTATCATTCACATGGGTTTTATTTCCACAGAATAAAACATTACTTCATTCTGTAAAACCAAGGTGGAGTGGGAAGTGGTTCTGGGCCACTTGTCTTTAGTCAGCATTATTGAAATAAATGATTCATTAATTGAGAACTTCTATGTGACAGGAAGTGTATCAATACTGGGGCCATGAACCTGGACAGAACAAGTCTCAAGGAACTCATATTCTTGGTTTTTCTATTTATCTTCTCTACTTCTAGGACTTTCTACCCAGCATATTTCTGAGATCATCCATCTCCTTCTCAAGATCCATCCTGGGATACTTTCACTACTTTTCCATACTCGCTTTCCTCCATTCCTTGGGGTCTCAAGCCACCTAACTGTTCACTCTCCAAAACATGCAGAGTGCCTCCCTGGTAGGGGCCAACATGTGTTTTGTACCAGGCCTGGAAAAGGGGCATTTTTATTGACATACAACTGCTAAATAGAGGGCTTTAAACACCAGGATTAGAGCTGGAGGTATTAAACACTACCTTACAAATTTAAGGTACTATATTTGGAAGGACAATGAGGTACAGAAGCAAAATGGGGATAAGAAAACAATGAAGTTAAGTTACTGTATCAAGCAGGTGGTGGTAATCTGCTGCAACTTTCAAGGTGGAATATGTGCTTACTATGAGTCTGCTATTTAGTCGAGCTGGTACATAGTTCACACACTACCTTAAACACATCGCGTTCTTTCTGCACATGCCGACTTCTCTTTGAAATGCTCCTCTCCTTATCCTTTTAATGAATATCTACTCATCTTTCAAGACCCAGGACAAATCTGCTCTCTTACATGAAGCCTTCCTCAATCTTCTCTTGCTCGCACAGCACATGGTACTCTGTTATGGATTTCTCGCGTTGCTGTTTTGTGATATATCTACCTCCTGCTCCTTGGCTAAGTTGAAGGCATCTCCACCATGACAGAGACTTTTTTTGTGTCGTTTTTTGTGATCTCAGCATTTAGAGAGTATCTTAATAATAAATAATGCCTATTGTTAAACAAAATCAAAGAGATTAGAAGAAAGGAAGAGGCAGTCAGGAAAGAAAAGCAATAGTGGGAAGGGAAAAGGCAAATGGAAGGGAAAGAATAAAGCAAGAATAGAAAGAATGGATGAATCTCTTTTTTCCTCTCTCACATTTCGAAGCAGTCTTATAATTGTTTGCTTTCTTTGACTTTTTTACTCCTATTTGTTCTAATCTCTCATTTTTCCCCCACCACAAAAATGTGCATCCCTCAATTCTTCAAGTTCAAGAAGTAACAATTTTTTTTCTTCTTCTTCTTTTTTTGGCTCAGCTAAAAACTCAGAGGAAAGAGATCTTTATTCCTCTATTGTGAGGACCATTAAGTAAGCCCAGAATCTGGCCTTCCACAATAGTGGATTTGAAAAAAGAGGTAGGCAAGCTGGGGTTTAATTTCCTCCTCCTTAAAAGGAAAGGATTCTATTGCACTCTTAACAGGGTTGTTTCTTTGAGCCAGCCCCAGGATGCAAAACCTATTTGGGATGGGGCCAAAGGGCTGTGCTGTCCATGCTGGAGGATGGTTACACTGAAGTGAAACAGAGATTAATCAATCCAAGACAACATCTGTCAGGATATTGAGTTTGGCTCTTGTTATCAGCTGCCTGCACTTCAGGGGCTATGTAATATTCAATTTGATTATCTCTCACCTGCAAAGAGTAAGCTTCTCTCTTTGCTTAAAAATCACTGGGACTAGCTGAAGAGGAATCGATCTCTGGAGAAAATGCTGACAGGAAAACAAATCAGACATAGGACAAGGGGATGAGGAAGGAAGGGAAAGAGAGTTTGGCTTATGCCCTGGTATTTTTTTTTTTTTTTTTTTTTTTTTTTTTTTTTTTAGTGAGGGGTGTGTGTGTGTGTGTGTGTGTGTGTGTGTGTGTGTGTGGGTGTGGGTGTTTTGTTTAATCATTGGCTTAGTTCCCTGTTGCTTTGAGGGAATGAGATTCTTTGTTTCACTTGTCAGTCCTGATTATGACAAATGATGACAACAAGACAACATAACTCTTTTGTACTTCTTTGAGATTCCATTAGTAGGAAAAAAAAAAAAAAAAGCTTTACTCTTTGTCTCTAAGGACCAGGACCCAAGTCTCGTAGACCTTATGGATTTCCTGCTGGAGAGGACACAGCAAGGATCCATGGCAATTCTGTACATTTGGAAAGGAAAAAAATTACCTCCTAGGGAGACAGAAGTGACAGGTTTGAGTCTAATCACAGTTACTCTAATAACCTAAGCTCCCTTGATATATCATGATGTAATCTTCAAAAGTTGTGCCATCTTTAGGGCACTTGTTTCATAAATATGTGTTTATTCTTTCTCGCTCCCTCTCACTAGTACCTGGACTTTCACTCGGTCATTTTCCTATACAACTACAGTGAATGCATTTTTATGCCATTTATGTTTATTTTACAGTACTACTCTTTTTTCCACTACACTGTAAAACTTCCCCATCCAATCTTCAGCACTGATCTCACTCCTGAGATTTAGTCATTTATATTAGTTGGCTAGCTTCTAGATTATGCCATTGTTGCCAAACATTTCTCACCTTCAAACTATCTCATAGGCCACAACTATTGCAATGTAAGTTACCAAATTATGTTCCCTTTCCAAAAAGTAAATACAATACATAAAAATTTAAAAACTAAATTCAGACACCTAAACCTGATATACAAGGTCACTCATAACTGATTCACTCTACATTTCCAGGTATATCTACTTTGATCCTCTTTGTAATCCTCATACTTGCCCAGCAAAGATTCACCATTTTCCTAAATCACCTTGTGCTTCTCTAGTTGTACCTCAAATGCTCATGTTCACATACATTCTATGCTTCAAATATAACAGTGCACTCTCAGTTTCCTGAATTCTCTATACACCTTTAAGTGCCTCTTCCTTTGCACATGCTATTTCCTCATCCTAAAACATCTGTTCTTCTTCCTTCTAACCATTATGGATTAACTCTTACTCAAATGTTAAATAGTCAATATTGATGTCATATTTCTAGATTGTTTCCTCTTCTCTCCCACTCTATGTAGATGATTCAAATATTCTCCAAAGCAACCTATGTTTTCTATTCTCTAGCATTATACCTGATAATGAATGGATGGATAGGTGAGAGTAAACAAATAAAATTATACTGTGTGGAGTTGTCTACTTTTCTATCCTTCCCACACCTGTACAAACTTATTCTTACTATCCTTCAAGGATCTTCAATTGCCATATATCATTAAAGTTTTCCTTAACCATGCTCATTACAAGTAATTCCTTTCTTTTTAATTTCCCTAAATTCTTATTCAATAAATGGTACTGCTTTTATTTGCAATGTATAGTAATTACATCATATCCTTTGTTTCTGGAAATTTTGGGGAATGGTTTAATGAGATTTTATATAAAGCTGGTTTTAGGATCATTTAAATTTCTTTTCTAGAAAACTGGTGTTCTGGGGTTTAAATTGAGACAATGGTCCTAGAAAAAACAGAAGAGTAAAGTGGGGGAAAGTGGGGCAAGTTTCAGAGCATGAAGACAAGTAAGATCTCGTAGATAATTATTTGAGAATACAACATTCATCTTTAAACAACCCAAAACATGTATCAATAGGAGCAAGGCACAGTGGTAGAAATACAAGTGTGTAAATTAACAGGATGTACACAAACAACATAAAGGCAAAATAGACACTGTGGACCAGAAAAGGTAGGATAACTTGATTATTGTTTCACATGGAGATGGATATAATTCTTAGTATTCACCTACTTGTACTGGCCTTTTAGAAATGTAGAGCCAACCATTCTGGATACACAGCCAAACCAGTAACATATTTATCATAGTATCTTTCATTAAAATGATTCTCATAAGTCAGCTTCTTTTGAGTTAAAAATTCTAATTGCTTCATTTTGCTCTTTATCACATTTAAAAGTGATACTGTACCTACTTTTATTATGTATGCTAAAGCATCTATATAAAAATTTTTTGAGAGAAAAAAAGGCTCATATCTCACTGTGCCAAATAGAGTAGGTACTTAATGTCAGAGAAGGTACTTACCTTCTATATCTTTTAGAAAAGTAGGCAGTAATACAGATTGGATACTACAAATTTCAGGCATCCTATGGCAATGACTGATCTAAAGACAAAATAACAGATTTCAGCTTCATGGGTCACTATTCTCTTCTGAAATTGAGCAATTAAAAAAAATAAATGTATTGACAAAGGTACCAAATCAATTCTATAGGGATAGGATAGTCTTTTCAACAAATGGTTCTGAGTCAACTGGATATGCAGATTGAAAGAACATGAATTTAGAATTTACCTCACTCTATACACAGAAATGAATGAAAAGTGACTCAGATACTAAAATGTAAGATATATATATATTTAGAATGAATCTTTGTAACTTTGGGCTAGGCAAAAAGTTCTTAGATCTGATACCAAAACCACAATTAATTAGAAAAAAAGTTAATAAATTGGCCTTATGAAAATTAAAATTTTTATACTTTAAAATGAAAAGATGAGCCATTGACTCTAAGAGAATATTTGTAAATTTATATGATAAAGGAACTATATACATAATATATTTAAAAATTCTTCCTATTAAATATGATGAACACACCAAATAAAAACGGGCAAAATCTATGAATAACATACTATTAAAAAATATGCAAATGACTAATAGGCACTCGAAAAGATATTCAACATAAGGTATTATGTCAGTACAAATTGAGATGACAGTATAATACCACTACACATCTATGCAAATGGCTATACCAAAAGGAAAGCATCAGTAAAAGTTGGCAAGAATGTAGAGAAACAAATTATCATACATTGCTAGTGAGAATGTAAAATGGTATAGCTACATTGAAAAAGAGTGTGGTGATTTCTTAAAAGTTAAATATAAATTTTCTATACAATCTAGCAAATTGCAACCCTAGATAGAAAACAGAAGATAAATGAAAATGTATGCTAACATAAAGAATGGTTCACAAATGTCACAAATGTTCATAGCAACATTGTCCATAAAAGCACCAAAGTGTCCATCAACTGATGAATGATTAAACATAATTTGGTATATCCATATAATGGAATATTATTCTGTCATATAAAAAGAAAAACCTACACTTGCATGCTACAATGTGGATGAACCTTCAAAAACATTATGTTAAATGAAAGAAGCTAGATGTAAAATGCCACATATTGTATAATTCCATTTATAGCAAATATATAGAGACAGAAAAACAGATTGGTGAGACACCAGTGTTTGGGTAGGAATGAGGATTGACTAAAATGGGCTTAAGGAATCATTTGGGGATGATAAAAATCTCAGACTAGATTGTGGTAATAGTAGCACAACTCTGTACATTTAGTAATAATCATTGAACTGAAAAATTTACATAGGTAAATTTTATGATATACGTTATACCTCATTAAAACTACTAAAAGTAAATAGGGGCACCTGGGTGGCTCAGTGCCCCTGAGCATCCAACTTGGGCCCAGGTCTGACACTCAGTGAGTTCGAGCCCTGCATCAGGCTCTGGGCTGACAGCTCTGACCTCAGAGCCTGCTTTGGATTCTGTGTCTTCCTCTCTCTGCCCCTCCCCTCTCTCTGTCTCTCTGTCTCTCTCAAAAATAAATAAACATTTAAAAAAAATTAAAAAAGACTGCTAAAAGTAAATAAACAGTGCTGATAAGCTTACAAAAGCACTGTTATGTCTCAGCTTTAGTATCACCTCTTCAGAGGGGCTATACCTGGAAACTTTACCCACGTACCCCCTTCATAGGGTCTATTATTATATACTGCTAACTTCCAATTGCAGCACTACCACACGCTATTACTGTTATGCAAGTATTGGAATTTTGTTTATTGTCTTTCTCACTTTGAATGTAAGCCCCATGTGGGAAGGAACTTTATTTCTCTCATTTACCATTGATTCTTACAACTTAGAACAATAGCAGGAACAAAAATATGGTTAGCAGTCATTTGTCAAAAGGATGGATGAATAGATAGATGGATATATAGATAGATAAATGGCTGAGTGATTCATATTTTCTAAGCAGATTAGTTGTATGTATTTTTAGGAGATTCAGAAAATAATCTTCCATTTTGAGAGGGGAAAAATGCAACAGATGGGAAATGGCATTTCCTCATGATCAAGAAAGCAGAACCCCTTCCCCAGATTAGGCATCTGAGACTTTAATTCCCAAAGAAGACAAGTTGCCAGAACTGAGCACAGCCAACTTCCACCTCTCTTTTTCTTTAACCATCCCATTAACAAAGTGATTTTCTCCAGGGTCTAGATCCAATTAAGAGCAAGGGCAGCAGAGAGGAGAACATTGAGTGAAGCAATGTTAAAGACGTTTGCACACATTCCTCTAGGGGATAGAGAAAGCTTTATTGGCATTCCCACCCCTCCTCCTCCTTTTCCCTCTCCATCCCCCCCTCCTAAACTCCTTTCCAGAAGGCATCAGGACAAAGAAGCACCCAGCATTCAGCTCAGGAACAGAAAATAAATACACTGGGAATACCCCATGGTCCCTGGCTGAATACAAAGCAGTGATTCAGCAAAGAAACGGCAGCCTCAGTGAGAACAGAGAGCCTGCACTGAACACAGCACCAGGAACAAGAGGAGAGAGAGGGGGGACAGAGAGAGAACATCTTAATGTCTTCACCATCTATCCCTCTGGTGATGTCTCCCACAATAATGAGTTTAAATGCAATCATAAGTGAAAGAAAAAAGGGAAAAGGGACTAGACTGATAACACTGCACAAAGGGAAGAAGAATATAGCAAGATAAAAAAATATCCATTTTTCATACAGATTTAAGACAAGAATGAACTAGAATCTAAAACAGGTGGTAGAAATAGATGATTTAAAAAGGGAGAGTGCAGAAAAATAAATGATATAATTTATTGGTTAGTTCAGAATGAACCAGGGAGCTGTGTTCCATTTGTGTCCCGTGGCCACTGACTTCAATTATCTTGTTAAAAAGTCTTAGCTTTATTTCCAGTGTATGTGGTGGGGATAATGTGCATGTCCTCCTTTCCTCCTTCACTAGGGTCTGATGAGCACTAATTAGGCTAAGTATGTGACATGTCTTTAGAACTTTAGAGTGCTAGATAAACAGAATGCTTTTTTGAAGTGCCTGTATATTGTTGGTGCTGAATAAACATTAAATCACACTCAAGTTTTGAGGCTGAGCAGGAGAGAGAAGTTTATAGTTCATTGGGGAAAGATTTAAATTTCATTGCAGCATTTCTAAGCTAGTGACAAAACATTACTAATTCTCCATAGCCCTACCTTCTCCAAAGGACAATGGTGGGGGAGGGGAGGAGGAATCAGAGAAAGCTCTTACTAATGAAATCTGAATGTTTATAATCAAGTGAGGGTCATAGGATGATGCAGAGTATAGCAGTATATGCATAAAAGGTGGAACTCATTACTACAGGGAAGAAACTATAAGGAATATCTCTAGGTTTTACGTAAAGACTTAGTCTTACACAAGATGACAGAGGAGATATTGTGGATTAAATATCATGCTATTTACCCAATAAAATCTACAAAACCTACTAAGTCAAATGCTTTAATAGGAGTCTTGGAAAGCCAGCTTTTCCATTCTTCTGCTTGATGGAGCTCTGTATGCAGCAAATAAGGCTGGGTGCCAGGTTAATACTCTACATATTAAGAAAACTTTGGGGAGTGTGCCATTTTATTATAATTTCATTTCTCCTCTATGCAGAATTCCATTTTTCTTACCCTTCAACTAGATTAAATACTGTAAATCACGGCTTTATTGATAGGAAAGTAGGTATTTGCATTACTCTTAAAAATGCCATCCCCAAGAAGCCAAATTCACTACTGAAAAAAAAAAGAGTGAAGTTTGCCAAGCCAAATAAATTGCCTACTGGGGTAGGCATTTATATCTGGTGGCAACACTAGATGTCTAAGTCATAAAGCTTTTGCCACGTCATCCACTATGGGAATGTGATTAACACACAAAATCAGCAAGAAAATAATTTCAAAAGAATTATTCATCTTTGGTATTTTCACTAGCCCAAAAGATTTCATCACCCCATATTCTGATAAAGGAAAAATCAATGTCCTATTATCATTCGGATCATATATAGCCATATATGATCCATAAAATGGAACAGAGCAATAAACTCACTTTGCTCTGTGCCTACCATTGAAAGAAATTATTGAGTACCTGTTATTTATCCAGCTGTGTTCCAAGCAATATGTGGGACACAGAAAACAAGGTGTCATGGAAACAGTCGTGATCTAGACTATTTTCTGCTAGTAACTAATTGTTTGATCATAGGAAACTCATTTATTTCCCCTAGAGTTTTATTTCCTCTTTAAAATGCAGCATAATATGATATATTTGAATATCAATACTAGCACTGATGGAGAGGTTACCCAGACCAAGGTATGTGTGTGGTCTCCAACCTTCCTTCATTCTATAATTTAGGGAGCTTGCATTCTAGTTGAGGATACAAAGATAAAATACATTCTATCCTCTAGTTGAGGATACAAAGCTAAAATACATGAAAATATTAGCAAACACTGAAGCACTAAATTTTTTGGTATTTCCTAAAAGTCTCCACACCCAAAACATAATAGTAAACAAGCAAAAAATAAATAAGGAAAAATAATAAATTGAGGATGGTATAATTAATGACTTCTTATAAGAGGGAGGGCTTCAGGTGATTAGAATTTAGGTAAATGGAGGGAGGGAGAATGAACCATACATCCTGAAGAAAGATAAAACTTTAATATCTATCTATCTATCTATCTATCTATCTATCTATTGTTAATTTTACTTATTTTTGAGAGGGACAGTGAGAGAAAGAGAGAGTGGAGGGGCAGGGAAAGAGGAGGACAGAGGATCCAAAGCAGGCTCTGTGCTGACAGCAGACAGCCCAATGTAGGGCTGGAATTCACAAACTGTGAGATCATGATCTGAGCTGAATGAGCTACCCAGGCACACCAAAACATTAATATTTTAAAAAGGGAACTGTGGACATGGGCTATCAAGAAACATTCCTGACAAGAAGAGAAGATGGATATTACAGAGTGACACGTTAAGAACTCATGGCGCTTATGGGGTGCCAGGATGGCTCATTCAGTTGAATGTCCAACTTTGGCTCAGGTCATGATATCTCGGTTCACAAGTTACAGTCCTGTGTCAGGCCTTGTGCTAACAGCTCAGAGCCTGGAGCCTGCTTCAGATTCTGCATCTCCCTCTCCCTCTGCCCTCCCCTGCTTGTGCTCTCTCTCTCTCTCTGTCTCTCTCTCTCTCTCTCTCTCTCTCTCAAAAATAAATAAACATTTAAAAATTTTTGAAAAAAAGAACTGATGATGCTTAGAAATTGAGTCTGATGGGACACAGACTGGAGGCCAATTAAATTTTTTTTTTAACGTTTATTTATTTTTGAGACAGAGAGCGAGAGAGCATGAACGGGGGAGGGTCAGAGAGAGAGGGAGACACAGAGACTGGAGGCCAATTATAGCTGATTAAGCAAGGAAAGGAATTAATGAAAAGCTGCATTTGCAGAAGAACCTAGAAATTTAGACTACAATCTCCATATTACTCACTGCTCATTGCCGATACTCGCCCAGTGCCTAGCATAACATAAGTACTCAATACATGTAAAGACTGAAGTCAGTCATGCACTGATAAGGGTTTGGAATATAGTGATAGCAGTGGGAATAAAGAAGTTCCATTATTTAGTGACAGCTCATCAAAATTACTAAGTATAAAGAAAAATAAAGGCAAAATAATAAATAATAACAATAATACCAATAATACAAACTATAACAGCACCATAGCACAATTGAGAAATCAAGTCTGAAATGGAACTGTATATCTGCTGTGACTGCCCTGTGTCTTGCTCTTTATCCTGGACCCTAGAGTCATCATCACCATATTTCCTAACTTTGAAGCAACATAGAACCGTCAACATCAGAGTGAGGCTGTATTCCATGGTAAAGAATAATGAGCCAAAGTAGTCTAAAGTATGGTGAGATATAATTATAATTACTAATCTACCTCAAGGTAAAGAAGTGTGCCAAGAAGTTTGAAACAAAGACCTCTTGGTGTTTTTCTGGTAGCACACAACCTGAAATTGGGTTACTCTATGTATTATTCCCTCACTTCTTTACTGAAATGCCTCTTTCTACTTTTTCTCTCTATCCTCATTCAAGTTTCACCACAACCCTTAGGACTCAGCCTTTCATTAAAAAATGTCCATAGTAACATATCAACCCACAGCAATTTTTGAAAAGTCATCTGAACCACCATCAACAATATATTGCTTTCATTGTTACTTAATTTTTCATTTATACAAGTTCCTTGAGGGACTAGAACAAGTATGGAACCAGATTTTTTAAGAGCCTGATATTTATACAGTATAGATTATTTCCTTTAAAAAATACAAAATGGTAAATTAAAAATTAGAGACAAATCTTTGGAATAGCTGGCTCATGCAACTGAAGAGCCCCAAATCTTAAGCTTCACCGTGAATCTACTTCTATTGGATTTTTACTTAATCCCCATAGAATGTCCAGCCCCGGTTATGCATACTAACTACCCAGGCTACACTCTTTCCCTTAGCAATTTCATCTAAACTATAGTTAAAACTATCTACTAATAAGAAAACATTTGATGATTCGCACTGATGCAGTTCTTTTTCTGAATACCAGAGTCCTCAGATTCACTTTTCAATGGGTAATTGTACCTGAATACTTACTGGCCCCTCAAACTCGATTAACTACCCAAATTAATCTTAGTTTCAAAATCTCTTTAATTCCATATATCATTTTGTATTTGTTTCCTATCTTCCCCATATTTGTACTTCCAATAATGCTTTCCCTTATTTACTTGGGAATCTCCCTCTTTCTCTATCATCCTGCCAGTCTTCTCATTTACATTTCCAACCAATATTTTAATTGGATCTATCCATCCCTGGTCTAGGTTTGAAAAACAGTAATTCATTTACATGTGAGATATATAATGTATACAGATAATACTTAAGGTATGTACAGATGTTTCGAAATTTTGCAATAATTCTGTAGTTGCCCAAGACACTAGGGCTTGGGACCTGATTGCCTAAACCTTTTCTTTTGGGACTAACATTGAATGAAACTGAGACATTATCCACAAGAAATCAACTCTGACATATTTAGGACTTTGTTAGATAATTCTTAGGATTCCTTGTCATTATCTTTTAACAAGTTCTATTTTTATTTTAGCATCCACAGATTTTCCATTGGGAAACTGACATCCATGGGAATGTTTTCAGCTTTACATACAGATAACCCACTTTGGAATGGGGTTAAGTGTGTTTTACTGTCATCTGATCATTTCCTAATCTGCTTGGACTTAACCTATCTCTGTCTTTTCATTTCTCCCTTCAAATCCTTACTTTTGTTTGCTCAAATTTTCTGAGCACTTTCAAAATTATTACCCAAAATGCTACATTATGTATTTAAAAGTCACCCGATTCCACAGGTAAAACTATGCATCAGTGCTTCTTTTACTATGAACACAGCAAGGCAATGATGAGGTAATTGGCTAAGAACCTGTTAACTCAACAGGAAAGAAACTGGTTTACTACTCTGATAATTGCTATTTACAAATTGTAACACTTGAACTTTTAGGTAAATTAAAGTCTTTTTACAAAAAGAAAAAAAAAGAAAATATGCATACAAAAAACAAAAAAGCTGAATTTGGTGAAAGAGACTAGTTCAGCAACAGTTGGAAATATGATTTACCTATATATACTGATGTATGGCATTTGTTATTTGACCTCAAATTTAGTGGCAGCAGAGGCTATCTGAATTTAGGAACAGGATATCAGACATTCAAAAGTTCTTGCTTAATTATTTCTGGGGAAAGTAGCTGAAATGAAAAGTAAGGGAGTGATACAAACAAAGCACTCCTCAATTCAAGAATAGCAGATTTACCCAAAGGCAAATAAAGTCCATGGACACTGCTACCCACTCCCATTTTCCTGAAATGATCTTTGATGATGCTGCATGAGTCAGCAGAGAGAGGGTTCTTGGAGCAAATAGCTGGGGATGTGACTTAGTCCTCTCAGGACTCGGACCCAGGACTGGAGTGGTTCAAGGCCTAGGATACCTAAGTCCTCAGGGTAGAAAGAGAGCCAAGAGGAAGTATGTATTGGGAGATAGTATCATTTTTTAACCTTTGGGGGACTAAATGATTTAACAGTTTGAGCCATGTTGAACAATGTAAGAAATGAGGCCCCATTTAACCTGATCAATCTTATCTATTTTGATTAAGCTAAATGAATATAAAAGTATCTTTCTGAGACCAGATATGTCTTAATATTGATCTGCAAAGAAAAATGAAAGAACTAAATAAATCTTACATTTTAAAGAAACATAGTCCCTCTCTCTTAACATACTAGCAAATTCTCCAGTGGGTAGAAAGTTGTAAAGGTATGAATATTAAAACCCACTGAAAATTTATTAGAGAATATATTTCTGAATGAAATTCTTCATAAGCACTCAAAGTGATATTGGATGCCAATAAAAAACACACACAAAAAATAAATTCCATATACAGAATATCACAGAATGATAGAACATTCTGTGGTAGTACATGAAAAATCATCCATTTCAACCTTCTACTACATAAAGGTTTTCGTTTCATGGTCCTTTTTAAATGACATTTTTAATTTTGGTTAGCAGGCCTCTGCTTAAATACAAAGATGACTAAAAATTTACTTCTTTACAAGGAAATCTATTCCATTTGGTAGAACAGCAAATGAGTACACACACACACACACACACACACACACACACACACATACACATATAACAGATCCTTCTTATTAGATTCTTACGTTAACCATCTAAGATAAGAGGATATTATTATCATTTTCATTTTAGAAATAAAGGACTTGAGGCCCAGCAGGGATAAGTGATTGTCTCTTATTTGTTCTTGCTTACAAAGCAAGAAGTTGCTAGAGGCAATACTTGGAGCTAGGTCTCCTGGCTCAGAAGCTGTGTTATTTCCATCATGCCATAAAACTATGTGAATGATCATTTATAAAAGAATTCAACCTGGGGATGCCTGGGTAGCTCAGTCAATTGAGAATCCACCTCTTGATTTTGACTCAGGTCATGATCTCATATTTGTGAGATTGAGCCCCCACATCAGGCTCTGTGCTGAGCATGCTGACCCTACTTGGGATTTTCTCTCTCCATCTCTCTAAGGCCCTCCACCACACTTGCACTTGCTCACTTTCTCTCTCTCTCTGTCTCTGTCTCTCTCTCAAAATAAATAAACTTAAAAAACATAATTCAACCTGATTTGTTTATTTAAATTATGTTCCATTTAAATTATAAACTAGCCCAAATCCTTTCCTTATTTTTTTTTTTAAATTTTTTTTTCAACGTTTATTTATTTTTGGGACAGAGAGAGAGACAGAGCATGAACGGGAGAGGGGCAGAGAGAGAGGGAGACACAGAATCGGAAATAGGCTCCAGGCTCCGAGCCATCAGCCCAGAGCCTGACGTGGAGTTCGAAATCACGGACCGCGAGATGGTGACCTGGCTGAAGTCGGGCGCTTAACCGACTGCGCCACCCAGGCGCCCCTTTCCTTATTTTTTTTGAGTGGGATAAAGTATGGTATAAACACATACATATGAACAATATTCTCTTAAATTGAGAGTGATAATTTGCCTCCCTATAAGCTTTCTTCCATTTTTAAATTATAATTCTGTCAAAAAACCAGAATTTTCTTATCTTTCTGCCTTACTTGGTATGACTGATATGACACAAAGCTATCCTCTTATTTTTATGTCAAATATGGTCGCAAGTTTGCTCACCATATTTTTATCCAAATATTGAACATGGCCAAGGACACACTGAGAGAATCCTTTACCACTGTCAATCAATATTTCTTTGGCAAGATTATCCAATCAAAGGAAAAAAACCTAGCTCATTATAAACCAATAACTTGTTCATTTATCTGTCAGGAGAAACTTATCAAAATACAGATACTCAGAGTAAATGGTTTTTCCCTGATCTATCAACCTGGAATTTTATTAGTTTTAAAGAAATCTACTTACCAGTTACCGATTGTTCCCAGGGAACCCATGTTGGTTCTCAGTAGTCACTGCTTCCTTTTTAAAATGTTCTAGAACTTAGGGCTTTGTTGTTGTTGTTATTGACAATATAATTTTCCGATTTTAACTAGGACACTATTTTATGTCACTAATACTGTGAAATGGTTTCTATATTGTCCTTGGGCTCTGGGCAGACAGCAAGGAGCCTGCTTTGGATCCTCTCTCTTTCTCTGCCCCTCCAGACAGCAAGGAGCCTGCTTTGGATCCTCTCTCTTTCTCTGCCCCTCCCTTGCTTACACATACGCATATTTTCTCTCTCTCTCAAATTAAATTTAAAAAAAAAGAGAATTGAAATTAGAAATTTCAATTTCTAATTGAAAATTACATTTCTAAAAATTATTTCTCATTTAGCCAATACACCATTACTGCGTATCTTATAATACACATAGGAAAAAAAATAGTATACAATCTTATTTTACTCCTTAGGGACTATAGTGCATGATAAACAAGATGCAATAAAAACAAGAAATATTAAGTCTGGAAAAAAAAAGAAGAAACATTAAGTCTGACCTCTCTTGCAAATAATTTTAGCACTTGCATAATGATTAATTACAAATAGAACTTATTAATCAAAACAAATTAAGAAAGCCATTGTATAATGCTTCCTATATATTGTACCAGTTCATATCCTTGATAACCTGGAAAATTCCGTTTTCTGCAATAAACTTCTCCATGATTGGTGCATCAACTTAATTTGAGTTCCTATTAAATAATACTATGACCCAAGTTCACAATAATATTCAGATTCATTTTATGTCTAAATTTATTATGCATATTAATAGCACATGTATGCTTTTGCTTTCTCATATTATTATTAATATATGCAAAAGAAACAAATTTTTTAAATCTTGTATTCAAATACATCCATACAACACAATAAGGTATATTTATGACATTTTTTATACCTCCTAACAGATTATATATAAATAAATACTTTTATTTCTAGAGCTAGATTTTGAGTCGTTTTATTTCTACAAGTATCATATACACTTTAATATATATACCTTATATATTAGTATTTATATACAAGTATATATATCTTTAATATAATACTTTATATACTATTTTGCATTAATACAAATATATTTTCAAATTTCCTATAACATGACATTTATAAGCTAATGTCAGAGGTTTATTTGTTTTTGTTTTGTTTTCTTTTTTGAGCATATCACCATCCAACTTATAACATCATGCATTTCTTCTAACGAATTCAACCATACTCAAAAACTTAATGTCAGACCAGACCAACATCTTTGTTTTAAAGGGCAAATAGGAATTACACCCATTTCAGAGTTAAAACAATAAAAGCTAATTCCCAACTTTCTAGAGTTAAGGCTTTGTGAAACTAAAACCTGAATCCCTTTATATTCAATCTAGAAGTTTATCTGATCTATAATATCCTGTAGACTTTAGGCATTTCCTTGTGGTGCTGATAATATTAGATATTAGTTCATCATATTAGCATCACAAAAGATAGACAAAAGAACAAAAGACAGAAAGAAGGTCAAAGAAAAATCCATATGCTAAGTTAATGATTCTGCAATGTAAAATGCTGATCTTAAGATATGCTCATACAATTACATCATGAACATGCATAAGATGAAAGCAATCTTGGTTATGTCAAGCAAGAAAAAGATCAACCACAAATTGGCAAGCATATGTGACTCAAACCCCATAAAATAAACAGGTCTGATATAGGTGTGCTAGAATGAAGTATAACTGAAGAAGCACAAAAATTAGAAATCAGGAAACCAAGTAATTTTCCCAATTAATATTTTCACATGTATACATTTGGCCATGCATCACTTTGTGTTGACTTTCATTTTTATCTATATTGCTCCTACCAGAGAATTGTGGCAAATAACTTGATAACTTGAAAATATAGGAACTCACTATAGAAATGCATCACCAAAAAAGTTATAATAGAATACATAGTAATATATTATTGTATGAGAAGCTGGGTTCTATTTTCCTCAGAGTTACAGGCTTATCCTCTGACCTCATATAAATAATGCCTTTGTGCATTATAGCAAAACATACAGAGAGAATTTGGGATTGTTAAAAAGTCCACTATACATTCAAGTTTGAATTTCTCCAGGAGTCAGTAGAGAGCTCAACACTGCAAAACCCAAGAGACATCATTGTTCAGTATAAATAATCACTTTGAGTTGAATGACCGCATGTGATCTATACCTTGTCTCATTTCTTAAGAAAGTAGAACAGATGAGGTGAATACACCTGTTGCACAACAATCCTGCCAACTGTAACTCCCAAATCCTCAACTTAGTCCCTCAAAGTTCACAGGCACTTCTAGAGGGAGAAAACCTCAGCAGCTCCCAGAAAGTATATCCCTTCTTGTAAGCTACCTGGGAATCTGAGCTTTTCATAGACATTGGACATGCACTGAGTGACTCCTTTTTGTCAGAATCTCATCTATCAGCATACTTTGTCTGGGCACCTGTGTCTGAAGTTTTGGGTTCCCCTAAAATGCTACTATATGCATTTCTCATTCTCTTGGAAGTGGTGCTTAAAAAGAATAGCTGCAATGGGAAATGTTGAAAGTGTTTCTAGCCAAACCCCTTATCACCCACCAATGACCAGAATATAATCCATGTCTGATTTTATTACTTTATGTTTTTCAACCACACATTTATAATTTCTCCCGTAGTGGTTGGCCTTACCACTAAGATCCCTTTTATCATACCTGCCTCCTTC